TGAAAACTCTGTCCCCATCTTAGAATAAAATTTATGGGTGCGGAGGAGGGCAGGAGGAAATACTAAAACATTCTGAGTAATTTTAACTTTTCTCCTTATAATATACCATTGATCAATATCAATAATACTATCTTACTATTTATTCTACCTCTACACTTTGCTTTTAATTATCTTACACACATTTCAACTTGTTGAATAAAAACTGAAAATCAAAGTTACTAATAGTCTTCAGGGTATTTATGACCCTTTGCACCTAATAGATGCTATGACTCTGAGTCCACAGATGCATGTATAGGTGATGAAATATACAAGGACTGTATAAATTTAAGAAATTTATAAAAGACACAACGCCATTAGTCCTCCTCAAATATGCCACCTCACTTCAAATATACTCATTCTATCATTCTTGCCACTTTCTGAAGAAGTCCTGGAAGATTTCCTTCAAGAGCATCTTCACAAGGTGTTATGGTTTGTGTCTTGATGTCCCTCCAAAGTCTCATGCACTCATGAGGCACAGACTTTTCAGAGGTGGGTAAATCTAGAGTTTGTGATTGATTTGTGGTCCAATGCTGGAATAACGTGTATGAGTGCTACACCTGCCCTAGGGCAGGTAGCTTGCAAACTATATATGAGACAGAAAGAGGCTTATCTTGTGCTCTCTTCCTTGCTTTTGCTGTCCTCTGCCACCATGAACTATTGCCCTTCGGTGTTGTGCCACCCTGTCTTGGAGCCAACAGATTATGGACAGAGACCTCTGCAAATTGTGAGCTAAATAAGCCTTTCCTCTTTTAACTTTGGGTGTGAGATATTTTGTCTTGGGAAGGAGGAAAGTAACTAATACAGAATTTGGTACCAGAGAAGAGGAGTCATTACTATTACTATACCTGGCCATGTGGTTTATGAACCTCTGGAGCTGGTTTCTGGGGATAGGAAGAGTTAGGAAAGATTTGGAGAGGCTGGTTGAAAGAGCACAGTTGAACAGTCTGAAGTTGTACTATGTGGGAGATTCTAGTCAGAGCTCAGAAGATCAGAAAGCCAGTGAAGATCAAGCTCAAGAAATTTCTGCTGGAAAGAAGAACTACATTGGTTGTTGGACTCCAGATGATGTATGTTGTGCTTTGGCAGAAAGTTTGTCTGTGTTTTGCTCCTGTCCAGAGACTTTTCCTGATAATTAGATTAAGGGCAACAGGCTAATTAATCTTGCAGAAGAAATTTCAAGTCAGTCAAATGTGAAGGCAGAGGCTAGGCTACCTTTGGGGACTTTGAGTCATATTTATGTTGAGAATCAAGAGCAAAGAGCCCAACAGAATGATTTAAAACATTGTGAGTTTGCCCAGAAAGGAAACTCCAGTAAAGCTGTGGACTGCAAAAAAGAGCAAAGGAGATCTTGATTACTGAGAAGGGACAGGAGAAGAGAAAATATGGCCTGAGAGCATCATAAGAAGTAGCAGAACTTTGCCCACTGAGCCTCAAAATTGCAAAAGTAAAAGACTGCTTTAAGAAGAAATCCCCAGTGCACCATGTTCCAGAATGGTGGTGGCCACACCATGTTCCAAAATTACAGCTGCATAGAAAATTTGTTCCTGAGAATTGGATTCAGAGTGCTCAGCTATCCAGGCACTAGATCCAACAGTCAAGAGAGAGGAAAGCCCGGGTACTGCTCCATCCTGTAGCAGACCTCAATATCACTCATATAGTGCTGGTTTTAGGTGCATGTAGGATGGAAGAGTTATGGAATCAGGAAGTCTTCCACCCAGATTTCAGAAGAAGGCCTGGGAGGCCAGAAAATATGTCCCTGAGAGGATGGTATGTGAAGCTGTGAATGACAAGCCAAAGTGCAGTAAAGACCCCAGAAGTCTGGAGAAGTCAAAAACATGGATCATCTGACAAAACCTGAAAGGAGGGAACAGAACAGTCCAAGATAGAAGCCATGGAAGCTAAAACCACCAGAACTTCCATAGGGGCACAGATAGTCAAGCCCTTTAGTGTTCATACTTTCCACAGTTTGCTTTGGATGCTGCACATGGAACTACAGGACTTAATGTTTGCCCTGCAGAACTTTGGACTTGGTTTGGTCCATTCCTTTGTATCCCCCTGTTTGTAACTTTTGAAATGAAAATGTCTACGTTGTGCCATTAAATTCTGGAAGTGTTTAACCATCTGTTCATTTGTACAGGGGTTTCATTTGTCACAGCTAAGAGTTTGTCTTAAATCTCAGAGGAGATTTTGGAGTTGGACTTTCAGCAATGCTGAAACTGTTAGGAATTTGACAACTCTTAGAGATTGACTAAATGCCTTTTGTGTAGAAGACTATACATGAGCCATTGGGAGATCAGGGGAGGAATGCTATGGTTTATGTCTAGATGTCCCCCCCAAGGCCTCATTTAGTTATGAGGGGGCAGGGTTTTTAAAGGAGGTTGAATCTAGAATTTGTGATTGATCCATGGTCCAGAGCTGGGATTAAGGGTGTTAATGCATACCACATTAGGGTGGTTAGCTTGCATACAATATAAGAGAAAGAAAGAGGCTTGCCCCTTGCCTTGCATTTGTTGCTTTGCTGTGTTCTGCCACCATGAACTGTTGCCCCTCTGCCATGTGCCACCCTGTCTTTGAGCCAATCAGTTATGGACTGAGACATCTGCAAACTGTGAGCCATATACACGTTTCCTCCCTTTAACTTTGTGTGTTGGGTGTGTTGTCTTAGCAATCAGAAAAGTAACTAAGACCAAAGGTGTGATCAAAAATATTGTGAACCCTGTTCCAGAGTGCCATCCAGTGGACAGGCAGGCTTGTAGAAATATTATGTAGTGTTGTCATCCACCTTATTCACTGGGCCTGGCACCATGCATTTTCTGGCTCTCCCATGAAATCAAAGTGACTATGTTTTGAATTCATCCAGGACATCCAGACAGCCATGACAGTGCAATCGAAGACATTCATGATAAAGAACTTTAGAAAAGTGAAAATAATTATGAGATAAGTATGATTGAAGTGAAGGGTAGGATTTTGAATGAGATTATTTTACTAGAATTTACTATTATTTTACTATATTTTTTATGTAAATATGCACCATATTTTTATATCACACTTTATACAGAAAAGATATTTTTCAACTTCAAGTCCAAATCCTGCCCATTTAACCCAGTAAAGTCATCTGAGGTTGCAGTTTTCTTTCCTACTGTATTCTACTCTGTAGGACAAAATCAGACCTGAATTCTTGCTTTAATATGAGGAAGGCAAAGGGGAAAACACAGAAAGAAAATCACATTTAGCATTTTATAAATAATACACAGCTATATACTATAGACCAATTCTAAAGTATCTTCAGTGAAAGCACCTGCTAGATAATATGCAGAATTTCAAAACTGAATGATTTTATATTACTATTGCCTATTTCTCAGTGGAATTACAAAGTTTCCTCAAAGCTGGTGATTTTTCTCAGTGTGATGGTGGCATGTGCTTGTAATTCTAACACTAGGGAAAGGTGAGGTAGGTGAATTGCCTGGGCAACTTAGCAAGGCTTTGCTTCAAAATAATATAAACATGCATCCATACATAGGGCTTGGGATGTAGCTCAGTGATAAAGCACCTATGGGTTAGATCTGCAATACCAAACAAAGTATAGAGACAGTGATTTGAAACTTTAGAGTCTTCCTGCCAGTTGTGTTATAGAATGTTATCAAAGTCCATCTAACAGTCATCTAGGTGTTCTATTAGCAGCCTAGCTAACAGCTTTGCCTGACATATTTAGACAGTGAGTTCATATCCATGTAAGCTGGCTGTTACGTTACTTTGGCCATCAGGGAATTTCCAGAAAAAGGAAGCAGCTTATGACATTTCATCAGAGCTATTAATTGCTACCATTTCATGTACGATGACCAGGGGCAAGATTCCATCATGGTGGCAGGACTGTGTTCTTTAATGTCTTCCCCAGATGCTCTATCCTAGCCCAGTTGGCACTAGAGAAAACCTTTTAGGGGGAGACAAAGAGACGTTCCAGGTAACCACAGTAAGAGTCCATAGACCTTTCGAGCCAAGCTCCGAGTAACCCTTCCTACTACCCAAGTTCTTTACTCTCTACCCTCTCTTTCTGATTTTTCTTTCCCTCCCCTTCCATTTCTTCTTCCTTCTTTCTTTTAGTCTCTTCAGCAGGAAGTTCATTTATTCAATTATACCCCACATGGGGAGAAATTTAAACAAGCTTACCTCTTTACTAAAATGGATACAGCTAACTCTGTACATCTTTCAAAAACTGCCCTCCGTGTCCCCAATCCCAAATGTTAACTGCCAGTGATATTCAGCTCCTTATTCTCAACTGATGGTGTCTTGGTATCTCACAAAACACTCTGTCTGTATAGCACATTCTCATGACCATAGCCCTTGGCCAGAAAGCTCCAAGGATGACAGAGCCCAAGACAACCATAACTGCAAGAAAGGATTTAACACGCAATCTGTGTGAAAAGAATTTCATATAAGCTGTAGAGGAATGGTGGTTTCTCAAAAGGAAGCCACTTCTAACAGTCATCTAGGTATAAAGATGTAACTGATGAGGCTAGTGCTTCACCTGTGACCCCTCAGAGTGCTTTAGAGTTTGAGTGCACCTCTGTCAATGCTACCTTGCTCTGACACAGATACAAATGTATAAACACTCCCGCGTTTTGCCTTGTGATCAGCACAACTGTCCTCATTTCTTCCTGAAGCACTGAGCCAAGTACCTCTCTGTGGTACCGAGCATGGCATGATCATATCTTTGCTTGGCTTCTTTCCTGTCCAGACTCCACTTTCCTGTTCCTCTACCAGTCTTTCTTGGACACACTTTCTACTTAATCACTTTCATGAGAATTTTTGTCTTGGGGGTCTCCTTCTGTAGAACCTGATCTCAGACAAAGCATATTGTCAAGTTATTTTAAAATGTGAATTTATTTTTCAAAGGATAATGAGTCAATCTGCTGCATATTTTAGACTTTTAAAAAACAGCCCTGCAAACTTGTGTTTTTCAGGCAGAGAAGTTGAAGGCGAAGAAGAATATCTGGAGATCCTTGGCATCACCAGGGAGCAGTCAGGCAAATATGAATGCAAAGCAGCCAATGAGGTCTCCTCGGCGGATGTCAAACAAGTCAAGGTCACTGTGAACTGTGAGTACGGCAGCAGCAGGTGGCTTGTGTCCAGGGCACACCTCCACCTCCTCAGGATCCCACTAGCAACGTGGCATTGCATTGAAAACAGATGCTGTTCTGGTCAGGGATGCATATTTGTACTGTGGACACATCCAAGGGCAGGACTTGGCCTTTAAATTTGATAAATCAACTGCACCACTTATAAATATAACCCATAATACATTTAAAATAGCCTCTGCCTTTTACCCAGACTGCAGAATTTCATATATATATATATATAGTCAGATAACACTAGTATTTCTGACAATCACTATTCTGGTGTTTGTGGACACCAAGGTCATATTATCTTGGAAAAAGCAACAACTCAGCTCTGCTTTAGCAAGAATTTCTACCTCAGTGCATTGTTTGTCAGAAGGGAATATGCCAAGAATATTATTTATCCTTTGCTGTTTAATTAATTGGCCTGGGGAACAAATTCAAGCACTATGGTCAGATATTCTGTGTCCCTGATGGCTAACAGGGATGCCTGATAAGTTAATTTTGGTTATCTATTTGTCCCAAAGTATGAGCATTAGGAAGGGAGATTTCACTAAGATGCATAGGTAAGTGGGAATACTTTGAACTTCTCAGATGAAAGACTCCTTAGATGTAGTTCAAAAAGGGGAGAAGGGGAGAGAGAATCTTATAGATGTATGTCACTCAGTAAAGGAAGAAAGAGAATTTGTTTACTTTATTCAGTTAGGAGAGTCTGTCTGTATCATTCAAACTCAAGTTTCTGCATCACACAATTGTGGCTAATAACAGGGATAAAGGAATATGCTGACAGTTCTTCCCTTCTATGCATTTCACACATAACTACACTGCCACAGACCCAAATCCTGCATAGCACATATAGTGCATATGCACACATAGGCACTCAGAGGCACACATGCACACACATGCACACACATAAACACACACACACTTTAACCCACGTTCAAAAATATGTTCTAGGCTCTGATGAGCCACATTTTGTTATCTTTTGTTTTCCATACACTCACTTGTGTAACAGAGAGTCTCTATAAATTCTATTGCTTCTTAGTAATACATAAATACTTCACTCCACTTTGAAATTTGAGAAACTAAAGCCTAAGAAGCTATCCAAAGCAACACAGAAAACAAACGTAAGAAAAGGAATTCAGTCTCATGTCGATTTGATCCTAAAGCCCATGCCTCGGGAGGCAGGAGTAGGAGAAACTTCGATTATTTGTACCCACTATGTACAGCCTGGGGCTAAGGGATAGACTTTTGTTCTGTTTTTCTTTTTCATTATGTTAATGTTACCTAATAGTAGGGTTTGTTTTGGGAAGTTGGTACATGCATTGAATATATGTTATTCAATTTCAACCCTATTCTCACGCCACCCCCTTCTTTCCAGAGTTCATTGAGTGTGTTTTTATGCTCACAGTGAACCTATGAGATAAGTATCACAGATGCTACTTTAGAAATTTGTAAACTGAGGCTTAGAGAGCTAAGAAATCTTGCTCCAGGGGCTCCAGCCTGCTCTGGCACACACTGTTTCCCAGGGCCCTGCGCCAGCCTTTCCACCTTCTGAAACAGGCAATGGAATCTCTTTCACACAGTATCTGGAAAAATCCAATGTGCTTCATACATATAAGGTCCTCATTCGCAAGAGCAAGGGACTGCATTTGATGAGCTGTGAAGTGCTTTTATCCCTAGCTGTCTCCAATTTTTTTTTTTTTTTTTTTAGTAATAGAGTTTTGAAATGCCAATATTACTATTCTTTTCCAGTACTGGGTGTGTTTCAAAGACACATTAATGATCTCAGTGTTATAAAATGCTTTAGGTCCTTTTTTCACATGAAAGGCAATTTCTCTGGGTGTTTATATAAGTTTATAATTAGGTTAGTTATCTTCTTTTATGTACACATAACCATGCCATCATTTTCCACCTCTTCTGTGACTTTTAGAGTGAAGATTTCATTTTCTCTTAATTGACCTTCAACTTAATTAGACTTCTGAAAGTCCAATCATGGAGTAAATAGAAAATATTTATGCTTCCATTGTATGAAACATCAAAGTGGTTTGGCTTACAGATGGTTCCCAAGATCAAAGCTAGCCGCCTGGGCCCTATTATTATTGGAGCAATTAGTCTGACATTGCTCCTTCTTCACTGTCCCCAAAGCGTAATTTAGTACAGAAGAAAATACTGATAATTTTTAAGAAAAGATTTTCATGAAAATGTGAGCTTTTGCAAGAAAATGGAAAGAACCTAGAAAGACACCTCAACGCAAATTATATAGAAAGCTATGTGAGTTTAATCCATCATCTACCGTGTCCTAACTAACAGGACCTACCATGTGCCCGACCTTAAAAAAATTGCTCAGTAAAGTTTTCCTGAAAGATTAGTTGAAAAGCTCAAAGGTAAATCTGCCCTCTTAAACATTTCTACAAACTTTATAAATGACTCTTGCTACAAATCAAGAAGAATATTCTAACATTTCCCTTTGCAATCACCTTTGAACTTCATAAACTTAATAAACCAGTCATGTTTACAGTGTATTGAATTTAGTCATCATTCCAATTTTCCTGTTCAAAATACCTAGATATAGTTTTCTTAAATAGATGAATATTCCAGTTTCAAAGTTTAGAGAGATCTCCTGGAAAAAACTTCACATGTAGAAAATTATCCAGGATCACTTCTGTCACTTTATGTAAGCCTGCTTACTGCCAAAATGCTCCATTATTTAGATTGATTCCTCTTCTTTTTCAAAACGTGGGGTTTGGAATTAGAGGAGAGGATCAGCATGGCCAAGGAAATTTCTGGCTGGAGAGATTACTGTAATGAACAGACGCTAAGTACCACTGAAAAAAGAAATCATAGCACTGATTCCTTTTTTCCTCCACCCCTTCGTTGATTCATTTCCTCAGTTGCTGACAGATGTTTGTAGGGCACACTGAGAAGCTACTGCACTAAACTAGAGCGAAATAACAGTTGTTCCTGTTGAGCTCACCATCTGGATTCTACGGTCTCTCCTTTTTACTTCTTTTGGATAACCCTTCTCTGTGGTAGGCCTACAGCATTACACACAGCCATTTTTACACGCAAAATCTATTTTCTTAGAGGTGGGAGGTCTGGGGTTTATAGAGAGCTAAAGTATTGGCCTAAAAGCCCTTCACTTAAATAAGCTTAGTAAAATTTATGAGATCAAACTTCTGGTTTCTTGTATCTTACCCATAGCCTTGCTGCTAATTTCTCCCAGATACCAGCCCTAGGGACAGTCTGTCCCTTCCCTGCAGGTTCTAGATGTACTATCAATTTCAGCTCCCACGATGCATGCAAGGGTCTACTGATGAGTTTTGTCTCACTCCAGTGCTCCGTATACCCAGGATAACATCTATTATATAATAAATGCTCAATAAGTACAGGCTATTGATTTTATTGGCATTCTTTCTGTACTAGAATTTTTTCCTACTCCTGAAGGAATTCTTCTCAGAATCAGCCCCCAGCTCTCAAATATGCTACCTCTCCCACTGACTAGCAAATCTTCCCACCTTCTGCTTTTCAATAACTATTTCTCCAAAAAGGTTCGCAACTTCATTGTCCTCTCCTTGTCCCCCTTATCTCTCAACTTGGCTTCATCCTGGTATCTGGAATTACCCAACCCAAGCAACACAGAGTTGGGGCTGGGGGAGAGCATGGTGTTTCTGGCTTTTGCTTACATGTGATGGCCATTTACGTAGAGGAAGCAGAGGTAATCTCAGAATGCACAGCTGGGCCTGGAGACATCTGCTTTGCTCAGAGAGTACATGTGCATTTAACTGGACTCTTCAGTGCTTTGATTCAGTAATTACATAACGAGGAAACTTTAGGAGAAGAACTACTCGGGTGGAGTGCGACAATGTGGAAGAGCCGCCATTTCTAGGTAATCATAGCTACAGTCTCCATACTGACTACTGTATTCTTTTATTTGGAAAGGTGTAAGTACAAACACATGCTAGAATTTTTTAAGCTACAGTGGTACTTTGGTTTACAAACTTTATTTGTTCCATGATCCTGGAAAAGATGGCCACATTCATGTTTAGGCAGGAAATATGGCCACTTTCATGTTTGTCACCCAACACAGACTTCGCAAACAAAATATTTTGCCAAATGCTTCTGTTTGCAAACCAAATTGTTCACAAACAAAATCATTTATGAACCGAGGTACCATTGTATTGTGGTATCTTTGGAGGCAATTTCAGTAAAAGTACAGCGCATTAAAATTTTCTATCATAATTTCGCCATATGGACAAGAACCACGATTTTTCTGAGTACTTAAAGAATACATTGTCAGGACCTGGGAGATAGCTCAGTGGCACAGTGCCTGCCTGGCAAGCGCAAGGTCCTGAGTTCAATTCCCTGTGCCTATCTGAGATATTTTATATAAATTCATTATAATCATTATATTGACATTGGTCAATCATATAAGGAAGCATGATGGCCATGGTGTGCCCCAGAGATGAGGACTATTTACTTTATTATGGACATTATTTAACATACTTAGTTTGGTACTGGAGGTGCATACTTCAGTCAGTCTTATTATTGTTTCTAAATTCTCTGTAGACAATGCCTTTCTTACTGCCTGCACCCTCTGCCTTCCTACCCTGTTGCACCATTGCACACTAACCTTGGAGGATAATTGCTATCATTTTCATGTAGAAGGACAGAAGCAAAGCTCAGAAAATGTAAGCAGTATCCACCATAAATGTGAGTGGCAGACTTGCAATTCTAACTCAGGTCTAATCTCAAGTCCTCTCTCCTTCTATGACATGTGAGGAAAAATAATAAAAAAAGAACGAACATGATCACTTTAGATATTGAAAGTACTCTAATATGTATGACCTGATTTTGTATTTACACCAAGCCTGTGAAATTGGTTGGCAGGCGTCAGCATCTACGTTCATAGATGAGAGTCTGCAGAACAGCATAGCTTTGACGACAATCTAATTGGCACAAGTAGAAGTTGAGCCCTTATGATTCCTAGTATAAAATTATATGCATTATATCATTGTATGTTGTGCCATTTTTTGGTATCTTGTAAATAGCAGAAATCCATAATATTTTCCTTTCAAGCTATCAACATGCTCTGCTAGATGATTTGTTTTCCTTACCAGGAGTCCATTACTATTTAAAATAAGTTATCCAAATGTATTTATCAGAGCAAAGAGGTTCAGAGAATGAAGTTCAGAACATGGTAGACCCAGGTCCAAATCCTTTCTCTACCAAATATCTGGCCATATGAATGTGAACAAGATGCTCACCCGCTGTAGGCTATCTTTTCATTCACCAGATTGGACTAACAATTATTCCTAGGGGTATTACTTGGATGAGCTAGATATTTATAGTAGAATAAAGCTAGATATAGCTAGTAGAATGTTAATACAGATATGTGATGCCTATGAGTTGTATCATCCATTCAGATTTTATTTTTTATGCAAGTATTCCCAGTATTAGAAAGATTAAATGAGTGACATTTTCTTTGCTAGATCACTGTCATTGTTTTTTTTTGTTTTTTTTTTTTGTACCAGGAATTGAACTCAGAGCCTTGCACTTGCCAGGGAGGCACTTGTGCCACTGAGCTATAGCCTCATCCCTGCTCACTGTCAGTGTGATTGCATTGATTCTAATGAAAAAAGTCTTGTTATTAGTGATATAAAAATAAAAAACCCTTATTAATATTTTCAGAACCTGGAAATTTAAAGTAATAAAAACCAGAAGAGTCCACTGACAATTGTAAGGTATTCTGAAATCATGTAAAGCATAACAATAGATCTCTCTGTGCAGCATTTTTATGAAACCACATTTTTATTATAACCATATTTTGAGCAAGGGCATCTATTATTTTAATTAAACAAAGCATGCTTCATATGATGTATAATAATCTTTCTTAGCCTCACCTATAAAGAATCCATTGCAAATGAATTTTGAAATGCTCATTCCAATAAACTATAAAAGAACAGACCTCTACTATGGTGTCATTTTAGAAATAGTAGGAACAATGGGGTCTTCTATCCAGGCACTTACTTTTCTATAAGAAATTCCCTAGGTTTTGAAAGAGAAAACCAAGTGGTAATTGACCAGTGTCATCCTTCCCAAGACTGCTACACTCTCCAGCCAGGAGCATGCCTGTGATCCCAGGAGGCTAAGGGAGGAAGATCACAAGATCAACCTAGTAAGACCCTGTCTCAAAATTTAAAAAAAGGGCTGGGGCTGTATCTCAGTAAGCTATTCCAAAGTCATATAAAGAACAACAATAGATCTCTCTGTGCAGCATTTTTATGAAGCCACACTTTTATTATAACCACATTTTGAGCAAGGGCATCTATTATTTTAATTATACTAAGCATACTGCATGTGATGTATAATAATCTTTATAATCATCTCAGTAGTAGAGCACTGCTGGGTTCATTCTCCTAGTCCTGCAGCAACAAATGCTCAGCCCCAGCTTGTTGGGAGCTTCCTCAGGCTAGGACCTCTGTTGGGCTAATGAATATCTTGTGGCTAACCCATTTAGGTCCCAAACAAACAGAAATTAGTAAAAGGATGTCGTTGGATATATAAACCCCTCTTCTCCCCCATGACATCAAATGGACATAATAGCTTGGCATGTCTGACTTACCTCCCAATCGTGGCTGTCCTGGGCTAGCAAACCTGTCCACATGACAGCGGGAAGGAAAGAGGCCACAGTGACTGCCCACTTGGAGAAACAGAGGACAACCTTTGCTCCCTGCCAAAACTAGATCCAAAAGGACCAAACATGCCCAATGGGCCCAGTTTAATTCCCACATTTTTCAACCAGAAAAGTCACTCTGCTTCCCCCACCTCCAAGAGCAGTGGGTGTCAGAGCAGTAGGTGGACTGAATAAGACATAAAAGTAAACACCCAGACAGAAGAACTCCACAGAACTGACATCTGGGAACTGCCTTGTTAGTCCCATCATAGAAGGACTTACAGGTATTTACCGTATTGAGGAATCTAGCTCGAGTGTGCCAGAGGTGGTGGTGTAGGAAATACGGAGCCTTGCCAGGTTGAGGACTGGTTCAGTAACACAACAGTCATCATTCAAGATTTGTGAGTTATAAGCACACAGTTATAGAAATTCACTAACCCTATTTAAACTCCTTTTCAAATATAAAATTGAACAAACCTATAGAATCACAAGCATTGTCTTTCCAGCAAACACAAGTGGGCCACCGTGCTACAAAGTGTGACAATATATACTTCTTAGAAATTTAACACAATGGAAGTGAGGATGGGCAACAAGTATTTACTGATTCTCTTACTGCCTGTCATCTACATCTTTGCCTTATCTCAGTGGGTGGTATTGCCTAGTGTCCAATGCAATAACCTGATTTTCTTCCTTTGCCTCACCCTGCATATCTAATCCATTGCTGGTTTGACCACTTATGAGGCTTTGTATATCTCCAATCTGTCCCTTCCTTCCAGCCCCTGTATCACAAACCTAGTCCAGGATATCTCTGAATTCCTTCAAAAGCTTCCAGACATGCCTCCCTGCTCTTAGCTCCAGCGTTTTATTGGTAAGGAAACTGAAGCAGCCTGACTCTGGGCAAAGTATTAAATTCAGTTATGAGGGAGCTCAGTGAGGGACAGAGCCTAGAGATGAGCTCAAGTTTATCAAATTTAAATATCAGCTTATAAAGTCTCTTCTATGCTTTAGTCCTACACCAATGTCTCTCTTAACAATGCAACTATCTGAGTCTTACATTATCTTTTGAGCTGGTTTAGCCTAATGACCTATATAACCCACCATAGAATGACTTTTAAAGTGGCACTTAGTAATCAACTTATGACAGCTCCTTATTTTCAAAGTAAAATGCTCATGGTGATGTAGATACTTTCCCAATTCTGTCTACAAGTAGGGTAAAAAATCAGAGTTCAGGTGTCTCATTCCTAACTGCTGGTCTTGACTCCTAATCCATGGAATGCGTAAATAAATTATAATTTAGAAAGTTAGCAATTTAATGTTTAAAAGAGTGAAGAGTATGAAAATGTATGTGTTATAATGATACCAACCATCCATTTGTAAAGATCAGTCTGTTTTGGCTAGAATTTTAGATATGTTATGGCCAGAAGGATTGCCGCATATCAAAGCGTGGCCCACTCATTTTATAGGTAATAAAACCAAGGCCCACAATAGAAAGAGTATAATGAGAGGTCCACACAGCCGCAGTGAAGTTATAGTCTATGACTCCTCCTTTCCAGTTCAGGGATTTTCCTCTATATCATCTTCCCATTTTCTGCCTAATCAACAATAACACCAACATAAAAGAGCAGATAATTCCAAAGTGAAACAAAAATGAAAGAACAATAAAACTGCACTCTGGTCTGCTTGTTTACATATAGACTGACAGAGTTTTTCTAAATATACTCACTGTTCTCTATGACAATGACTAAAGGTTCCCAGGCTGATGGAGAGGAAGTTTCTGGCTAACATAGGGCATTTGCAAACCTTTCTGAAATTCAGATGATCCATTTTCTGTAAACAGAAAACTTTAAAAAAAATAGTCTTCAAAACATAAAAAAATCAGAAATAAAATGGACAAGGTGCTGAAGAACAGATAAATGACTTTTTAACAATAAGTTCACTTCATTAATTCCCTTAAATAAGCTTTTCCTCTATAAAGTCTGCAGAGATTGCTTTGGTCAACTTTTTCCACACATACACAACCAAGATGCCATTTTCTGGCAAATGACCTTTGGACAACAAAGTCCTTTTCTTAAAGATCCATAACTGCACAAAGGATCAACAGACCCAGGAGTTCACATCTCTCATCCTATCTTCCTCTTGTGAACCTGTAAGACTGCTTCAAAGAACCATGGCACAAATTAGGGTATCATATGTGTTTCTAAGTTCATTGCAAACATGTTGTAGTTGTGTAGGTCTAGTCACAGGCAGAAAATAATGCAAGAATACAACTGCCAGTGAGAGTATAAAACTGATATACTAGGAACTTTTCTGTGCATTATATGGATGTAACACAGAACCCCATATACTAAATCAAAATTTACTGGGTCATAGTAATAAGAGAATACATAGAAGAAGTGCAATAATCACCTAACACAAGCTTTGTGTTTTTTCCCATTTCCTTCAACAATATTAACCTAAGCTTGGGTTAGAAAGACTTTATCCTTCCACTATTTTCATCAGGTCCCTCAAAGCCAGTTCAGACTATAGTAATAGTAATGATGATAGTGAATAAAAAGAAAAATGACCAAATTATACATATAAAGTCCCAAGCCTTGTAGTATCACCGCTTAATTAATCAAAAGAAAAAATGCAAATATTATAATTAGAATAGTTGGTAATTTATTACAGGAGGGATAAAAGGGATCCTAGGTTCCATTTCCATGAAACTTTTTTAAATGTCTCATTTACATAAACTTGATCCATTTTCATTAATCATCCCCTCTTTTGTTTAGTTCTCTAGTGACCAGTTCTCAACAGATCCTATGATTCTTGTGAATGGAGCTTTCAGACAAAACTTTTCCTAACTCCCTCCAATCAGTTTGTCCTTTCTAATTCCTGCCTGAATGCAAATTTTGGAGTACCATCTGGTTTTCATACAAACCATGTGCCTGTCATTCCTGCAGATCCTCCCACTATCACAGAGTCCAAGAGCAATGAAGCCACCACAGGCCGACAAGCTTCACTCAAATGCGAGGCCTCAGCAGTGCCTGCTCCTGACTTTGAGTGGTACCGGGATGACACCAGGTATGTGCCCAGCCTACCATGTGTTCCACTTGAAGAGACCAGAAACCGCATTGCAAAGCCAACCCAGTTATAATTATGCAAAACTAAACTATTCAGCCCTTCCTTTTTAATATTTTTACAAGTGCTTTGGGGCTTGTGGCTCTTAAGCTGAAGTCCAAAATCACTCAGGTTAAATGTAGAAAAATGAAGTACATGGTTTGATGCAGAGTTCCCATCTGCAGATCTTTCTTGCATATGGGAGAAAGTCAAGCCCAGTGGAATCCACCCATTCCTGATGAGTTCCTGATGCCTACTGAGAGTCACTGGTTCTAATAATTGAATAATTAAAATGAGGAGTTGGGCAGAGACTAATAATCAACACTCTTTTTTTTCCCCTTCTTTTTCTTCCAGTGTAAATATAGGGAAGGAATTGCTAAGTTAAAATTGCCATCACTGTTCCTTTTAACTCTTCTGTTTTTCAACTCTTAGGATAAACAGTGCTAATGGCCTTGAGATTAAGAGCACGGAGGGACAGTCCTCCCTGACGGTGACCAATGTCACTGAGGAGCATTACGGCAACTATACCTGTGTGGCTGCCAACAAGCTGGGGGTCACCAATGCCAGCCTAGTCCTCTTCAGTAAGTATGCCAAAGCAGCGCCCAACTTGGCATAATGAAATTAATTGTGTTCATTCCTGGAAGTTTGATGATCAGTCCCTTGTATATGAAAGGTAAACTTGTACAAAAGTAAAAATACACTCACTGAGATCAAAGCTCAGGGTTCTCAGTTCCTGTGTACAGGACAGTCTTGCAAACTGAATAACTTCTGCTTGTATTCTCTTACTTTTTTATTTGTTTTTCATAGGTTTGCTTTTTCTTGGAGGGTAAAATATTCAGGGAACACATATGTCTTTGGTGGTAGCCTTTTTAAGAAGCAGGGGTGATATAGGAGTGTGGAAATGGATGACTGTAAAAAATTATCAGTGATGAGAGTGATTGAAGAAGAAATATTCAGTTGGACCAGATTAGGTACTGGGAGAAAAGCGGGCTAGAAAAGGCAAGTGCATATGCACAACACAAAAGGAATAGTATGTAATTATTAGTACATAACTACAGCACATAACTATAGTATGTAACTATTAGTACATAACTATTAGTACGTAACTATAGTACGTAACAAAATAGTACGTAAAATCAAAAGAACGAAAATAAGGTTGCGTAAAGGTTTCCATGTAATAGCAGGAAACATTACTTTTTGATGTTTTTTGCAACAGAGATGAAATAGCGGGAAAAGGGAGCATTTCTGAAAATCTGAGAAGATGCTGAAAATTGACTAAGAAGGGCGAGTGACTTGAAAGTTACTAATGTTGGGAAGAGTCACCACCTTGGCATCTGCTCTTTGGCGGGATGTGAGCGCCAGGATTCTGACTCCCCGGGCTTGTGGGTCAGGAAACTATGAGTATAGAAGTAAAAAAAACACGTAGAGACAGAGGATGAGTGGAATCATGAGAAAATGATCATGTTTGGGAAGGGACCTATTTATCAGAATGAGTAAAGCAAACAAAGAAGTTAGTACACAGTGATCCAGAAAGTTCATTCAGACTAAGTGAAAAAGTTCAAAAAATATAATATCATTTTTTTGGGAATAGCGAACCACTAGTAATTTTTCTGCATACTTTCAAGTAGAAAGAATACTATGGCCTGGAAAGATGTTTTAATCTTGTGTAAATCAGTTTAGATGAATCTTTAAGAAAAAAAATTCCTTAGAAGAAAAATCAATTTAAGTGAGCATTCTCTTGAAATACAGTACAAAAGCCATATTAAAACTGCTCAAGAAACTATCCTTCTTCTGGTAAACATGGTTGGCTCCTTTGTCAAAGATAAGGTGACTGAGTGTTTGGAGTTGCCTCTGTATCTTCTATTCTGTTCCACTGATCCTCAGGCCTATTTTTTGGTTGTTGTTTTTTTTTTTTTTTCTTTTTGTTTTGCTGATACCATGCCGATTTTATCACAGTAGCTTTGCAGTATAATTTCAAGTCTAGGATTTTGATGTCAGCTGACTTGTTTTTGTTGCCCAGAATTGCTTTTGCTATTCTGGGTCTTTTATGGTTCCAAATAAATTTTAGGAATATTTTCTCTAGATCTATGAGATATGCTAATGGTATTTTGATTGGGATTGCATTCAATCTGTATAGCAGTTTTAGGAATATAGCCATTTTCACTATTTTACCTTTTCCTATCTAAGAGCAAGGGATATTTTTCCATTTTCTCATGAGATCAGGTACATTCAGGATGGTATGTCCATAGACTAGCTTTCCATTTTTCTGATATCCTCTTTGATCTCCTTTTTTAAGGTACTATAATTTTCACTGTTCAGATCTTTTACATCCTATGTTACACTGATTCCTAAGTATTTCATTTTTTTAGATGTTATTGTGAAGGGTGTGCTTTCCCTAATTTCTCTCTCTGTGAGTTTGTTGCTTGTGTACAGGAATGCTATTGATTTTAGAGTGCTGACTTTCCATCCTACTACACTACTGAATTTGGATATTAAATCTGCAAATTTTTTGGTGGAGTTTTTGGGACCTTCTCTGTAGAGTATCATGTCATCTGCAAATAATGATAATTTCACTTCTTACTTTCCTATCCTTATTCCTTTTATTTCTCACTGCTATCTAATTTCTCTGGCTGTTCCAGGACTATGTTAATAGGGTGGTGATAATGGACATCTTTGTCTTGTTCCTGATTTTAAATTGAAAGCTTTCAGTTTTTGACCATTTAATGTGATATTAGCTATGGGTTTGTCTTAGGTGGCTTTTGTAAGACTGAAGTAAAGACCATCTATTCCAATTTTCTGCAGGGTTTTTATCATGAATAGCTGTTGGACTTTGTCAAATGTCTTTTCTGCATCTATTGAGATGATCATGTGATTTTTACCTTTGATTCCATTAATACAGTATATTACATTTATTCACTTGTGTATGCCTGGGCAGTATACACATCAGCATTTGGCCTGAACATGATCTCTCACCTTATGAGAAAACAAAGATGTATTATGTTTACTGAAGAATAATATATGAAAGGTCATTAAGCTTTGAGATGAAATGGAAATATCAAAATTGCAAAAAAATTAGTGAACCAGTGTTTCAGTTTCTTAGACCAAACCTGAGGGAGAGCTCACTTATTTTGTAACCAGAATGACAACCCCTCCACCCAGCTCCCATTGCCATTAGGTTTGGGAAGTGCCTTGCTACAAGCTCTACATTTGAAAGCTTGAAAATGAGGTTCTATGATAATACAATTCACATGATGCAGAAAGGCAAGGAGGAGAAAGGAATAAGAGGTGGAGTAAGAGAAGAAAAAAGGAAACAGGAAAGAAGTGGGGAAGAATATATAAAGGGAATTACATGTGTGAGTGGATTGTCCATTATGTAGGTTTAAAGTAATGGGGTTAGTGGGGAGATGAAAACAGCGGGAAAAGATTTGAGGTGGTGCTTCTCCTCAGAACAGTGTCAGATGGGGCTCTGCAGCCAGCAGCCCTAGGAAGCACTGTGTGGACAGCAGGGTGCTCTGCTGACCCAGCCAGTCCACAGCAGATGAGGCAGCTGGTGCGCTGCTGCCAGCCAGAGGCTGCAACAGGGGAAGACCCAGAGCAAGAGCCAGAGCCAGAGCCCTGAAGAGTTCACCATGATTTGCTGGGTTGGTGTGTCAGCACATTTTCAGCCCCGTCCACTGTGGTGACATGCTGACTTTTTGTAGTGTCAATGTGTGATCACCTTGTCTTCAGCAGCATAAATGCACTTCTCCGCTCTGTTCAAATGCTGATCTCCAAAAGGGTCAGTATGATGAAATGAGAGCTCCAGATGCCATTGTATTCATAGTAATTTCTTCCTAAGCTAGGGAAAGCCTAGCTTCCTCATTTGTCTCATTCTTTACACATTCTAGCCTCCTGTCAAGATTAGTCTGTGTAGTGGTATCTCAGTTCAGGAACTTAATTTGTCCCACAGTTTTAGAGAAGATAGACACAATGTTCTTGTCCAGGAAGGATAGTTGTAGTTGTGTTTGTCATCCAGTGTAAAGTTTGCAAAGAAAAACAAACTTTTGCCAAATGCTTTTCTTTTGAACCAAATTGTTCTCAAACAAAAGTGTTCATGAATCGAAGTACCACAGTATATTTAAATAATGCCTTTTATATATTTTGCTTTACACCTGGGCTGAGTGTTACTTTATATATTTTTCTGAATGCATGATTCCATTGGTACAAGGTAGACAGGCAAAGATTGAGCTTCTTAGTCTGGTCAGACATGGGAATGTGTGTGACATAACTGAAGATTTGTATTCTGGTGGTGCCAGAAGAAGTTCCATTGTCTGCGTTTGATGACCAAGTTGTACTTACAAAATTGACGACAGGTTTCTCTTGTTCCAGTGCTTATGCTGAGTTAGTTTTAATGCAATGAGTAAAGAGGAAGAATAAGAATGTTGACTTGAATGTTAACATTTCTTACCTAGTGTGTGCTCACCATGTGCTCTCCAGTAAGACTAAAACAAATACTTCATCTACATGAGTTCATTCAGTTGCCGTGACAAACTTACTATGTTCTAGTTCTCCAAAATACAGAGTTTGTGTAATTACTGCAACTTTAAGACTGAGTATGAGTTTTAAATTTGAGTAGTCTGTTTCCAGAATCC